TACACTTAGGCCAGGTCTAGACTTACTGGTGAGTCAATGTTCCAGAGGCTAATCTTATGGCGCTTGATTTAGCAGGTCTAGTAAGGACTCACTAAATCGAACACAGAGTGTCGCCTTCAGCACCAGTACTCCTACTCCTCGGGAGGAGTAAGGGAAGTTGACAGGAACATTTGCTCCCATCAGACTCCCACTGTGGGGAAGGTGGAGAAACTCAAATCCAGGTATGTCAACTCCAGCTATGCAATTAACATAGCTGGAGTTGAGTATCATAATTCAGACTAACCCCCCAGTGTAGACCTGGCCTCAGGGATGAAATTTCATCATGTGGCTTCAAAGCTGATGACACCCAGCAGAGCCTCTTGACTTCCGTGTCATGAACACTCAGTCTCCTAGCATCTATTATTCAATAGAGGCCAGTCCCTTCTCTCCTTGCACCAGAGTCACTCTGTTGTCCTCAAGCTGCGTATAGGTGTAGCTAAGATCAAGATTTATCCCCTTAACTCTGAGCGACACAACTGATCATCTCAGTGTAACGGGTCACAAGCCATTTTGGGGGTGTTTGCTTTTTCTCATTTTAGCTCATTGCAGCTAGGTTACATAGCCTCTTGCACCAACCAAATCCTGTCTGTCCTTAGACTGTGTACCCTTTATGCCTTCTGCAAACAATTTCAAGCTACCCTGATTTTCAAGTTAGCTAAATCATATGTGTTTAAGTTCAGCCTTTCCACCTGAGTTCATTCCTTAGCACACACCATTGATTTTTCTTGCCGATACATAAGGGACACTATAATGGAGTAGACTGGGCCCAAAGGCCCCCTGCTGGAAACCTCAGAGCTTTGCCATACCCATCTTAGGAAAGGAGCAGTGGAGAGGTCCTCCAAGCAGGCTAGAGTGTCTGCATTGGAAATGGCCAATCAGGGCCAAGCAGGACTTGATAAAGAGAGCTGTATAATAGTGTAGTAGTTAGTTCAAGATACAGCCCACCAAACCTTTTGATCTGGACCACAGCCCATCCCTGCAGCACAGAGCAGTGCTGCTCAAAGTGCCTGGCTGCTCCCTGTGACTCTCTGCTGCAGTGGGCTGGGAGGCTTCACATGCTGCCCCCCACTCCCAGCAAAATCTCTCAGCTCCTATGGGAAGGGGGTCATAATTTCCCAACTTCTGTCCCAGATCCTGCACCCTCTCCATAGAAAAGTGTGGCTCTTAATTACTTACCAAAATCTTGGAGTGCCCCCTGTCCCCCATTAAAAATGATTGCCCACTCCTGAGTTAGTTGCTGCTTGGAGCTGGAGGAGAAAGGACTGTAGAACTGGCTGGCTACCTGAAAGGGTAGCAGTGCCAATGACAGCTCAGTGTGGACAGGGACCAGGGGAGCAAAATGCTCCTGGTTGGCTGCTAGGACTTGGTAGAGACTAAGCCTGGGAAGGGCTACAGGAAGATAGGTTCTCCAGGGAGGAATTCCTGGGGGTATAGCCCCGTATCAGGGCTGGATTACCTAAAGACCAAAGCCCAGGGCGTACTAGAGAGAGAGACCACTAGAGATGTACTGAGAGCGGCCATGGGGAACTGTACGCCCCAGAAGGGGTCTGTTCTGGTTAACATGCACACAGCGTGTGACCCAGCCGGAGGGCTGTGGCACTAAAATCCTGCCTAGGAACCACCAAAAGGGGTCACCACAACTAAAGAACAAAGACATGCCCAGCTAGAGAGGGGCACCCATTGCTGAACACTCACAGAAGAAGCCACATTCAGTTACCGAGGGTCTAGATCACCCCTAAAAGTGGTTTCAGGATACCTTAAAGTCAGTGGAATTCTTTCCCCCATCCTCAATGGGCTGAGGACTACTCCCTAGAAACACATCCCCTCACTCCCTCTGTCCCTTCCCCCTCTCTCTGGTGCATGTATTTAGTGCGGCTCCATATTGCTCCCAGCCTCCATCTGAGCGTCAGAAAACTTCTGAAGATCCACCTAGTCATTCCAACACTGCGTGTGTCACTGTCACCCTCTAGTGGTCACACCCACAACCTCTAACAGCTAGTGGAGAGTCTCAATTTGCTGAAGGAGAAGGAGCCTGTATTTCTGGTCCCAAAGGCCATGGGCTTTTATTACCCCTCCGACCTACGTCTGGAGCATGTGGATTTATTTCTCTGTCTAAAATAGTCGTTATGCATTTCTATGGTTCCTGCTGTCATGTTTTGCCTTGCCTTTGGCTAGTAACCTCAAGTCAGGGTCTTATTATAGGTAACCCCCTGCTTTTCCAGCACTGCAGAAGCTCAGAAAACAAACACAACAATCCTAATAATAACTTCTTCTTAACACCCTGCCTGTATCTTTTTGGAGACAGGTAATTCCACCCACAAGCTGGCCTCTTTGCAAGGGCCAGCAAGCCATCTGTACTCCCTGTCTGCTCCCATCCCCTTTAAAAATTAATCACCTGGCTGCAACACCAGGGGAAGCTATTGTATTGTATTTAATATTTAACTAGTGTTTGGGAAAACAGTCTTCTCGCTCTTTCTCTATGTTGGTTTGAGCATTTGCATCACAGTAATTCTTTACCCTCCTGGAGAAACAGCACGATCCTGTGTCTTGAATACAGGCCTGGGAGCCAAGACCCCTGAGGTCTATTTCTGCCCTTTACTCCGTATATCAAGCAGAGCAAGTTGCTGCTTCATTTCTTTGTGCCTCTGTTATTCCCTCCTACCAGTCTTGTCCACTTAGGCCAGGGCTACACTAACAGGGAAGGTCAAATTAAGATACACAATTCCAGTGACCTTAATTACATAGCTGGAGTTGACGTCCCTTAATTCAAGTTTCCGCGCTGTCTTCACAATGGGAGATTGATGGGAGCAAACACTCCCATTGGCTTCCTTACTCCTTGCAAGGAGCAAGAGCACCAGTGCCAACAGGGGCACCCTCTGAGTTTGATTTAGTGGCTCTTTACTAGACCTGCTAAATCTAACTCCGGAAGATCGAATGCAACAGCGTCGATCTTTCACGTAGTGAAGACATGGCCTTAGATTGTTGAACTGTCTTTTGTGATGTGCGTGTACAGCACCCATTGGTTCCCTCATCTTATCTGGTGCTAATAAATGAACAACTTTGTTTTTCTCTGTGAGCTTTATATCCCCAGGTCAAGATGCCCAGACTAGTAATAAGAAACCTCCCTCTCTTGCACAGCTAAGCCAAACTACGGGTAATGATTTTTGAACCATGGACCACAATCCACAAACAACCCCGGCCTCATTTTGTTCTTTCCCACAAGCTGAGCTCAAACCACAGCAGAGACTGGATAAAGCCCAAGTGTTTGATCAACTTGGCCCTTGCTAATGTGATTTCTATTGCAGAACTGTTTCTTTTTATGCCTTCCGGTCTTTCCTAACAATATCACCTATGGCCTGATGTGACAGCAACACTAAATTATTTTTGATGGCTCATTACGATAATTACAGTGAAAGTAATCAAAGGAAGTAATGGGCAATCTCTTAATAAACTGTCAAAAAATCTATATTAATCATGAAGATTTTTTCCCTTCTGAATGTCAAAGAATACAGATAAAGGGAATATTGGACCTCAGGCCTAGCCTGGTTTAAAGGAGCGCTGTCAGGTAAGCTGCATTCAGAAAAATATTCCTCACCTGTGACTAATAATGTCAACAATCCATTGTGCACCACTGAATCCTTTTTTCTCCCTTTCTACATTTCACTAGTTTGGACAGTGAAAACCAAATGGTCATGGTCAGTTTCATTTTCTATTTACATGTCAGGTTTCCTTCCTGGCTGCCCAGCCACATAATGCACACGGTGATTGCCATCTAAGCCACAAAGGGAATCGTTATTCTTAAAAGAAAACCATATTTTTAAAAAACAATTGTTTTCAGTTCATCTGAGACCAAAGCTTGCTGTTCCCCTCTCCATTGTTCACCGGGCAGACCCCACCCTTGGCAGCAATGAGCATTTTGCCTGAGTAATGACAGGGGCTGGCATCTTCCTAGGAGCCCAAGAAAGTTAGGCAGTACACTCCCCACGGGATTTGACTGGCCCCCATTGACAGAGCGCCTGGCGACACGGAGCCGAAAGGGGCTGTATCCACACAAAGTATTGTGTCACGACACGTCCTCCTCCACAGCACCACGAGCTGCTCACGAGATGCCCGGCCCACATCACAGAGCTCCGCAAAGCCCTGGTGTGTGAATTCAGCCCCCCCCCCTTCCTCCTTGCTTCACCCGGCTCCAGATGGGGGGCAGCCAAGTGACAACGACAGGCCTCTCCTGTGACAGTGGAGCACTTTGCTTAGGGGGACCAGCAGCCGGGGGAGCTGCCCCAGCCCATCTGCAATGTCCAGCTGAGAGGAGCAGAGAGTTACGACAACGAGGTATTAATCTTTCTCAGCAACAGAAAGTTGGTTCAATAAAACCTCACCTCACCCCACTTGTCTTCTAATATCACCTCACCCCACTTGTCTTCTAATATCCAGGGATTGACACGGCTGCAACTGCAGTATACGAGACTAGTAGGACAGAGAGCTAGCTCAAATCAGAAGGTTAGATGGGACCACCAGGGTCACCAGATAGATAGAGAAGTGTGTTATTGCATGGAGACATAGATAGATAGATAGATAGATAGATAGATAGATAGATAGATAGATAGATAGATAGATAGATAGATAGATAGATAGATAGATAGATAGATAGATAGATAGATAGATAGATAGATAGATAGATAGATAGATAGATAGATAGATAGATAGATAGATAGATAGATAGATAGATAGATAGATAGATAGATAGATAGATAGATAGATAGATAGATAGATAGATAGATAGATAGATAGATAGATAGATAGATAGATAGATAGATAGATAGATAGATAGATAGATAGATAGATCTGGCTATTCAGGCAGTGCCCAGCCAGGGACTGCGCACCTGCCCTGTGCATCCAACCCCTGCCTGCGGGGAGAGAAGCCTGTGTTAGTGTTTACCGTCTCCTGGGCAACAGGGCATGTGGAAGGATGAACCTAGCCAGCCAGCTCTCACCCCACCCCTCCCAGCGGCAGCCGCCTCTCCAGAGCACAGCAGCAGGGGACTCTCCAAGATCACCCTGCACCTCCGCCCCAGTGAGCGTGTCCACACGTGAGTTCCCAGGCCCTCCTTGTGTCCATCTCCCTCCCCCCGGCCCTTTGTTCCTTCCCCTCTTCTGTGCCCTGGCCTGGGGGTGGGGCACTCCGGGTTTGGTCCCTGTCGGGAGGCGTGCACGTGAGCCCCATCTCCTCCGGTCCCAAAGCTGGGAAGAATCCATGCACGCTCGGCCCAGCCTCAGGCTCCCCATTCCAGAAACACAGTCAGGCTGGAAATTGCCTCCTCCCCTTCCCCACCTCACCCAGCACCCAGAAGAGCAACAATGACTGATTTCTGGTGTGTGTTGGGGCGGGAGACAAAAGGCAGGCAAAGCTGCAGGGCGGGGGAGAGTTTGTTTCTTTCCCAGTGTCCAGCTGTCAGAAGGAGCCTGATGGAGCAGGGGGTTGAGAAGGGAGGGGAATCAGGCAGAGGGAGGGGAGGAGCACGGCTCAGAGTAGAGTCGGACACAGCAAACTCCTGAATCAGGAAAGGGCATTTGGAAACGCATCCCTCAGGTTATAATTAGTGTTTGGGGCCCTTGGTGGAGATCAGCAGCAGCCCACTGCGCACACAAAACACAAAGACGGCTCCTGCCCCCAAAGAGTTGGCATGCTAGGCATCCACTTTATTGCCCTTGTTTAAAAAACAAAAACAATCTGCACACAGTCAGTTTGGAGGATGCAGCAAATGTTTGGGGTGAACCAGGACTAAAAGGGCCCCAGCTACAGGGCCACAAACAGGATCTTCACTTGGCCCAAAGCTTGCTCCATGATAATGCTCTTGATGGCCAGGGAAGGCTCACTCGGAGAGGTGCTTTGTAGCCTCTGTTCTCAGGGGAGCCAGGGAGGAACGATAGCTCACTGAGAGCTGGTGATTCCGAAACAGGACTTGCTGCGGCATGCTGTGCTGCTCGGGTGAGACGGGAAGCTGGTGGCCTGAAGGCTTGTGCTCTGTGCACGGTGCCGTTGCAAGAGACAGGACACTCTGGCGCTCGTGCGGAATGCTCACTGGGTAACGGCACGTTGCTTTTCCCAGATCCTCCTGCACAGCCGACATTCATCTTACGAATCTTCACAGGCTGACCTCACCCTCTCCTCTAGCTCTGGCTCTGGCTGAATCTCAGGCACCATCTGGGCCCTGAGACTTTGTTTCTACCCTCAAAATGCATCCTTTCCCTTCCTCACCGAATTCCTCCTCTTTCCTGGTTTTCACTGTGTCCTCCGTTTAATAAAAGTCTGCCGCTCTGCTGCGCGCCGCAGCTCAGAACAAAGCCCAAAATAACCAGAGACTGGTAGAAGTTTGCCAGGTCTCAGGGTGGCTGAAAACAGTCGGGGCCGGGCCTGTTTTTCCTGCAGTGAGATTGGGAGTGAAGGTCAATACCAAAGCCAGACACTGCATTTCCCAAGTTCGTGGGCTGTTCTCTCCCCTTTTGAGAGCATTCCTCTTGTTTTGTCTCCTTAGGAAATATATGTTATGTTATGTTATGTTATGTTATGTTATGTTATGTTATGTTATGTTATGTTATGTTATGTTATGTTATGTTATGTTATGTTATGTTATGTTATGTTATGTTATGTTATGTTATGTTATGTTATGTTATGTTATGTTATGTTATGTTATGTATATAATATAATATAATATAATATAATATAATATAATATAATATAATATAATATAATATAATGCCACCATGGAGATCACTGAATGAAGAAGGAATCATTAGACAGGTGTGTGGGAGTTGGGAATTTATCAACTTTAACAACAGCAGCAATAACAGCAGCTCTCAGCTAATGTCTTCTCTTATCCCCCTCTTTTACTGACATCTTTGGTACCATTGAACAGATGGTCAAAAATGGGGAAGGATTCTGGCTAAAATCTCCCTCCACTAAAAGGGAAAGGGACCAAGAGATGCTGTTACCAGTGAGGGCTCTTGCTTAATGCTTTATCTTTCCAACCCTTTGACTCTGTGTCTTTCCCCTTGCTTCCTGTGTCTGTAAGAAAAGGTTGAGATTATTTGTAATGGGGTGTTTGCCAGGGGACGAAGCAGGCTGAGGTCTCTGCTCACCAAACCCCAAACCATTTAACACTGTTTAATGTTGACTGGATTCTGTTAACACCCTTTGACTCTTTGAGCCTCTATGTTCCCTGTAAATGAATTCCACGGGTCCAAAAGCATGGCTGGGGGAAGGAGAAGAACAGCCCTTTATGGCTTTGAGGGGAGAGGAAAATGTGCTTGGTGGGGGTGGGCGATAGCTGGAAGACAGCAGCAGAGGAAGGGTAGGGTTGTTTATTACACAAGTGTGTTTAAATTCCCCCTCTCCAACAGTTGACATATGTTGGCAGATGGAATATAACAACAGTCAGGATTAAATACTGAGGGCAAATTTCTCCTCTCTGTTCCCAGGCAGATCTGTGACACATATTCCGTGCTTCTCCGATTCTTGTATCCACTGAAGGTCTCCTATCATAACCGCAGATCAGGAGCTCTCGGGGGAGGGACCATTTTAGTTCTATGTGCATACGGTGCCTAAGACTCTGAGCTCTGGCTGAGCCCCCGAGTGGTACCTCAAAAATATAATAAAATAACTCTGCCACTGAGCTCAGTAGATGAAGAAGGGATGATTAGACAAGGGTTCCGGAGTTGGGAACTTCAGAGAGCATAATTTTGACCTCATATCATTTTTGCTGATAAATCCACCCTTACTGCCCTGGTCTACACTAGGGCTTTATTTCAAAATAACGCCCCCTAAGGTCGAAGGAATAAGCGGATCATGCACACTACTATTTCAAAACAACAGGCCGCTTATTTCAAAATCTGTACTTCCGCTTTTCTCAGGGCAGAACGCTCATTTTGAAATACTATTTCGAAAGAGCAGTAGTGTGGATGTGCCGGTGCTCCTATTTCAAAATAACGACTCCTCAGCGGAATTCAAACTAATTACTCCGCAGTGCTTCCTATGGCTCTAAGTCGAGGTAGAGCATCCTCATTAAGGGAACCCGCCTTGGACTCATTTTAAGGCTTCCCCGTAATGTGGACACACTAGTTCGATTTTGTTATTTCGGGAGTGATTAAATCAATTTTAGTTATTTCAAAATAGTTTCCTAGTGTAGACATGCCCACTGTGTCTATTGGACACCAGTGAAGCAAGCAGAGTACTTGGCAGGCACCTTCAATCCACCTCTTCCCTGCCGAGAAGAACAATGGGGCCTTATAGAAAAGGGTTCTATAGTCCCTTCCCCGTGACTCCTCCTACAGAACACAGCCCACCTCCCAGTGACTGTAGTGACACTGTTCCTATTGACAGCGGATCCTCTCCAAACTGTGCTGGATCCTCCGGGGACACGTTTCCTGTCTGCTGTGAAATGTACACACTGTTCCCAGGCGTCCCTTCATGACAGCCCTCTCTCTCCCCAGTCCATGTGTCTGGCTGGTGTATGAGCACTGGAGGGACAAGAGTCAATGTGCGGCCGCAATTTGGGAAAAGCCTATTGCTGGCATTAGGCTAGGATGGGACCTGGCAAGTCCCGACTTCCACGGGCACAAGCATCCCCCCAGGGCAGCCTGACTGATGATCATTGCAAAGACTCTGCTCACTGCTCTAAGGGTACATCTAAGCTACAGAGCTTTTCTGGGATCCAAGGAACGTGTCTGCTTTTCCGAAAAACGACGCGTTTTTTCGGCATCCCTGTAAACCTTGTTTTACGAGGAAGAAGGGATGTTCCGAAAGAGGTTTTTTCCCCGACATTTGGCCCCGTGTAGATGGGCTAAATGTCGGAAAAGCTTCTTTCGGAAGAAAGGCAGAAAAAGATATGCCAATAGCAGTTCACAAGCTGCATATCTTTTTCCGACTTTTCTTTGTAGTGTATACACAGCCTTAGCTTTCCTATAGCGCCCATGGTAAGCCCGTCCTCACTGTGGCTATGTCTAGACTGCAAGCGGAACTTTCAAAAAAGCAAGCCGCTTTTTCGAAAGGCAATCTGGATGCTCTCTTTTGAAAACCCCCTGTTTTCATTTAAGAACGCCTTTTTTCGAAAGAGCACTTTCGAAAAAAGTCGTTCTTCCTCGTAAAATGAGGTTTACCACCGTCGAAAGAAAAGCCGCGTTCTTTCGATTTAATTTCGAAAGAACGCGGCTGCAGTCTAGACACAGGTGAAGTTTTTTCGGAAAAAAAGGCTACTTTTTCGGAAAAAACCCCTGAGTCTGGACACAGCCAGGGCTATTCCTACAGTTTCTTTCTGCCTCCAAGAATTAAACATGTCTCCCCACCACATCCTGGGTCAAAGTCCACTAACTGCTATCGTTCTCTACGGGCGGGATTCAAGCTCGTATTCCTCTGGCCTAGAGCCTTGCTTCTGGTAAAAGGATACATTTCTACAGCCTTGCCTCGTTGGTCGCACCAAACTGTAGCACAAAAGCAGGATTGGAAAGGGCCATTTATGTGGCTCCAAAGGTGTGTAGAGGAGAGGGAATTATGCTCAGAAGTTTGATTTGGTAACTACATTTCTCACACTTTTAAATTTAAATAGCAAACAAAAAGGGGGGGCAAACATTTTCACTGCCTTTTTGAGACCATTTCCCCATTTCCCACCCAACTATAACAAAGATGGCCTATTTCCCCCATTTTCTTCTCCTCCTCTCTTTGGGTATGTCTAGACTGCATCCCTCTGTCAGCAGAGGGATGCAGATTAGGCAGGTCGACATTGCAAATGAGGCAGGGATTTAAATATCCCACACCTAATTTGCATAAAAATGGCCTCCGCATTTTGCTGACTCAGCACTTTGTTGGCAAAAAGCGGCAGTCTAGAGGGGTATCTATTGAGAAAGAAAGCCTGCAAGGAGGCATAAGGGATCTGTAGAAAAAGGCTTTCTTTCTCAACAGATTCCCCTCTAGACGGCCGCATTTTGCCAACAAAGTGCTGAGTTGGCAAAACAAAACGGACATTTTTATGCAAATTAGGCACGGGATATTTAAATCTCTGCCTCATTTGCAATGTGAACCTGCCTAATCTGCATCCCTGTGCTGACAGAGGGATGCTGTCTAGACATACCCATTTTTCCCCCTTGGCTCTGTTTTCCAGTGGCTACAGGTTTTTTGCTCTTTGTGTGTTCACTGTGACCTTCAAAGCATCTCAGGCCTTTGTTTGTGTCTGTCCACATGATGGCTTAGAAAACACAATGTGGTCCCACAAGTATAGCCCTGAGTGGATATAAAATGTGTATCCGCATTCATAGCCACAAAAAAGAGCTGCGGCTACCTGCATCCATATCCACGGACGCGGCTACGCGCAGATATAAAGCGGACATCCTCAGATTTGCAGGGTTGTACCCACATGCCAGGGCAACGTGCTCAGTGTTAACTGCTCTAATTTCTGTTCGCCAGGCACCCAACAGGGCTGAGTGTGAAACGCCACCTGCAGACGACGTAAATGCCTCAGTGTTCAGAATGTCAGCCCAGGAACTTGCTGCCCGGCTCTGCCAGGAAGGGGACCAGCACCTTGGTCTGGACGAGCTGCCGCTCGCCACAGCTTTCTACATGGCTGCATTCAGCTGCAGTGCGCTCCTGGCAGTACAGAAGGTCAAGTCCCTAGGGAAGGGACCGTGGGGGAAAGTGGTAGCCACCCTGGAGACGTGGTGCACCGGCAAGAGCCCAATTCCCAGGATACACTGCAATGACTTGGCCATAGTGTCCCTGAACGTGGGAATCGCTGCCGTCTTCCTATCCACCCTCAGTCCCAGCAACGTGGCTTCCTCTGTGTTCAAGATGGAGGCCATGCTCAGGCAGGGCCGCACTGAAGAAGTGGTGAGCCGGTGCAGCGCCCTGCTCAGCACCCATCCTGACCATTCGGTGGAGCTACTGCTGACAAGGGCTTTGGCCTGGATGCTGTCGGGGACCCACTCTGGGAACGGAGTTGTAGACTATATCCAAGCTTTCCTGATGCACCGGGCTGAGACGGTGGCCTATCTGCACAGCAGGCAGAGGGAACACCTATCTCTGGTGATCCAGACCTTCTCTGATTACCTCTTAGCACACCAGGAGAAGGGCCCAGAGAGCAGGGCCTTGGACGGCCAGCTGGGTTACTGTTATGAGTTCCTCGTTGCGTTGGCACCAAATGACATCCAGGTGTGCCGGGCACAGGCTGCATACCTCTTTGAGAAACACAAATACGAAGAGTGTGTGGCCATCTACAGCAGGGCTATGGAGGCCTTATCTGCTGATAGCAAGCCCAGAGATGAGAGGGCTTTGGGTGTCCTCCTGGGCCGGGCAGCTGCTTACTTCTCCTTGGACGGGCGGACACGGGAGATGTTGCAGGACTTGATAGAAGCCTTCAAGATAAGCCCTGGCCAAGCCAAGCGGCACTTTGAGGAGCTTTTCTCAGCTTGTGACACTGAGAAGATTGAAGAACAGGCCAGAGCTGCCCTGGAGGGAGAGTTTGCGGCCTACCGGGAAGCGGTGCGTACTCGGCCTGAGCTCCGATGCGATGCCGGCACAGAACGGCTTTCCCCAGTCCTCCACACTCTCCAGTTCCTCGTGCAGGTTGCCACCGGGTCCAGGCGTGAGCTGAGTGTCCGGCTGGCAGATTGCCAGCTCCTCAGCAGGCATGTCAAGAGCGCCCTAAAGCTCTGCAACCATCTCCTGGCATCTGAGGAGAATACCTATTACAACAGCCTTCTGGTCCTGCGTGGGTTTTGTTACCTCCACGCCCACGCCTGTCAGCAAGCCCTACAGGACTTCCAGATGGTCATTGAGCATGACTCCCCGCACCCCACCAGTTGTATGAAAGCCCTGTGTGGGCGGGGACTTCTCCGGATTTTGGGTGGCAGTCCGTATCTCGCAGCCCTGGATTATATCACTGCTTGCCGGCTGAGATTAGACGAAACCATCCTCACTGTCAAGTCCTATGTGCCCTGGAACCAAAGAGGGCTGCTACTGAAAGTGCTCCAGGAAGAAGGGCAGAAGATACTGCAGAAAAAGCAGCATCCAAAAGACAGCTCAGCCGTCAGGCAGAAAAAAGGAGCAGGACTGAACGGCTTCCTGACGAAGGAAGGGTACGGCTGGGCGGGGTTGATTGGCTTGGGGGAGGGGGAATAGGACACAGACCCTTTGGGCATGTCTACACTACGGAGAAGATCAACCCTCTGGAGGTCGATCTTCTAGCATTCAATTTAGTGGGTCTAGTGTAGACTCCCCAAATTGAACGCTGAGGGAAGCCCCGGCCAGCATCCTGTACTCCTCATTTTGCGAGGAGTAAGGGAAGCCGACAGGAGCATGTGCTCCTATTGGCCTCCTGCCGGGAGCATGTGCTCCTGTTGGCCTCCCGCCATGTAGATGCTCCAGCATCTCGGCTTAAAAGTAATCCTAATCCACCTATGCAAAATGCGTATCTTAAGCCAACCTGCCCGGTCTAGTGTAGACCAGGCCAATAAGTCCAGGTCAACAGTTGGTGGGAACCCTGCCCAAATAGATAATAGGCAAAAGCCACTGATGGCTGATCAGTGTCCTTACGAAACAAGAGGGAGGGAGTCTCTCTATGGTTGCTAATGGAGAAGATATCCACATCACAAAAACAGTCATTTCTGCTGCCAAAAGGCCCCTTCACTGGAAGTCCCAGCAGAGTTCAAGGAGCGAAAGTGCCCTGGAGACAACCTCTGTGTGCCCCCTAAAAAGGCCGGACCAGAACAGGGGTAAGCGATTGCAAAGGAAGCTTGATTTTCTGCAGCCTGTGCCGCACCTGCTTTCAGGATAAGAGAATAGGTTCATGTCCGGGGCTGGCAGTCGGGCACACTTACCCAGTGTGAAATTAACGAACATAACACTTCAGAGGAGAAACAAATATAAGCAGAGTTATGGCATCTACATCCATTTAAGCTTCTGCTGCACCTTCTTCCACGGAGGGGGCTATAAATAAGATTAGCAGAGCTGGTTGCAATTTGTCAGTTGAATTTTTTTTAATGAGAAATTGGCTTGGGGCCGGGGGTGAGGGGAAGAGGTGGTGAAAAATATTATTTCTTTATAAATTGTCCACTTTTTCAATGAAGAATTGAATGCCAAACATATTTGTGTTCAATCTTCTGGTTTTTCATCAAAAGGAACAGAACATTTCTGTCACATATTTTCAAAGGCAATGTATTTTTTTCTTTACTTTCCATATTTTTCCGGGAACGTAATTGGCTATTTTCTTAACAGCCCCACAGATTGGGAAAGAAATTTTTCCGGGAACGTAATTGGCTATTTTCTTAATAGCCCCACAGATTGGGAAAGAAATAGGCTAAACAGTGCTATGAGAGTGAAGTGCTCTATTTGCAACCAGATTTCTATAGCTAATACAAGTGAGGATAGTTTAGGATGGTGTCTTACTAATAGTATCTAACTCTCTCTAGCATTTTCCTCAGTAGATCACAAAGTCCATTACAAAGCAGGTTAGTGTCATTATCATTGTCAAGGTTGTTCCCCGCTCTGGCAATTTGAGTGCAGAAGGTGGAGGCCTGCAGGAGTCCTTAAAATACCCTGCCACTAAAGGCTTCTGTTTAAAAACTCCCCACGGTCACAAATTCCCTGGCCTTGGGTGGTACGCTGTCACCACCCAAATACAAAAAACCCCTGAGAGCCCAGGAAGATGCATTGGGAAATTTCTTCCTTTGGGGTAACCCTAGGCTCTTTAACCCTTTCTCAGGAGAGAGCTTGCAAACAAACTGGAATTTCTTAATAGTGGATCTTCAGTCTCAGGTATGTACATACAGGACCTCCAGCCCTATAGGACACAGGAATCAGATCATAGTCTTAAAGGTATTTGTATTATCAAAACAAAGAAGATATCATTGGTAAAGCACGGCTAGTTGTTAAGTATTACAGAGCAACTGGGAACAGGCAAATTAAAAGCAGAGGTTTGCCCCCTTGGAATTCAGTTTCAGTTACAATGTACGAGTTCAGCACAGAGGAGTTCACAAACCAAAAAATTAAGAAAAAAATTGGATTGTGTCTAACTAAACATTCCCTGTTCTACTTACATCCCTGTTGTTTCAAGGTTTGGGTGGGTGGTGGATTCCTTGGGCATAGATATCACTGGAAAATCCATGTTCTTTTCCTGGCTCAGTCCATCTCTCCCCCAGCTGTTGCTCTGAGCTTGCACAAAAGACTGAAGCAGGCAGAACCTATTTCAATTAAAATCTCTCACTCTTTTTCCATTGGCTTTCCTGGTTCCCTGCCAATGCTTCCTGGAGACCCATTGCCTCTGGGTTTAACCATTTACAGGTAATTTAGTTAAATGAATGGTTGGGATGTCTAGAAAAAGGTAGCACCCCTCCCATCCATCACAATCACCATTTTATAAATGGGGAAACTGAGGCACAAAGAGAAAATTAGTTCTACATAGTCACTCAGTAGACCAGTGACAGAGCCTGGACTGGAACCCACATTTCTTAATCGTTTACTCGGCATAGTCAATGAAGCGGGGATTTAAATAATCCCCGCTTCATTAAAATAAAAATGGCCACTGCACTGTGCCGACAATCAGCTGATCCAGCACAGCACGGCAGTCTAGATGCGGTGCGGTCGACAAGGGAAGCCTTTGTCGACCGCTCCGGAGAGTGAAACGAGCTTTACTCAGTAGCGCCAGCCTTGCCAGGATGGGAGAGCTCTGGGGGTTCTTAGAGAGGGCTACCAAGAGGATTCTGTGAGCTTCTTCCACCCGGTCCAGTTGGTACAGGGCATCAGCACATAGGATCTGAGATACTTCGTCAGAAGGGTCCAGCTCCATCAAGAGAGAAGCCAGCTGGTGAACCCCGAAGGCATCCCTGCATAAACAAAATAGCCTTCAAAAATTCATCGTTCCAGTGGAATTTCTCTATAGCTCATACAGAGTAGCTGGCTCTGAATGATGCCCTTACGAAAATGGTGGTCAAACCTCACTATCTCCAGCAATGGAGACTTTCTTGTCACTTCAACATTTGAGCCTCATTGTAAACGTTTTGTTAAACGCCTATTTGTAAACAATCTTATAACTACAGGTAAAATCATGGCTCCAAAAGAGGGTACCTGTCCATGATGGGGACTCCTAGAGTATGTCTAAACTACATGGCTCCGTCGACGGAGCCATGTAGTTTAGACATACTCTAGGAGTCCCCATCATGGACAGGTACCCTCTTTTGGAGCCATGATTTTACCTGTAGTTATAAGATTGTTTACAAATAGGCGTTTAACAAAACGTTTACAATGAGGCTCAAATGTTGAAGTGACAAGAAAGTCTCCATTGCTGGAGATAGTGAGGTTTGACCACCATTTTCGTAAGGGCATCATTCAGAGCCAGCTACTCTGTATGAGCTATAGAGAAATTCCACTGGAACGATGAATTTTTGAAGGCTATTTTGTTTATGCAGGGATGCCTTCGGGGTTCACCAGCTGGCTTCTCTCTTGATGGAGCTGGACCCTTCTGACGAAGTATCTCAGATCCTATGTGCTGATGCCCTGTACCAACTGGACCGGGTGGAAGAAGCTCACAGAATCCTCTTGGTAGCCCTCTCTAAGAACCCCCAGAGCTCTCCCATCCTGGCAAGGCTGGCGCTACTGCAGCTGAAGAAGGGTTTCTTGTATGATGGCACTCAGGTAAAAAACCTCTGCCTAGCAACAAGGGCGAGGCAAAGTCCTTCTGTGGGTGAAATGACTGGGGAGGCCACTGTGTTAGAGATGTAGTAGGTCCACACTGCAGAGTGTTTTCAAGAAACTAACAATTAGTGTTTCATGATCTGGGACAAGAATATCTGTAAAATGCTGGGTCAAGCTGGTTGACATATGGGTTAGAGTCTCATGGGAATATTCATGACAAAATTGTGCCTTTTCTTGATAGCAAATTTTCAACTTTTCAACCTGCTCTAATTCTGGGATGGGTAATTTTCCCTTAGAAGGAAAAGAAATAGACTATTGCCTTTCTCCTGCAGCTCTCTAGCCTTGCTAATGTGTCTCTGCGACTCTTGCCCAGTGCCTACATGAGGCAGCAAGACGACGTACAAACGGTTTCCATATTTTAGGATCTCTCGGGCTAGCAGATCCACATCTCTCGAAAGCAGAGGACACGCCTGTATTCGTGGCCCTGAAAATAAAGCTGTAGTCCTAAGAAATGTACTCTGTCGTGGATGGGTAAAGAATTACTTACTGTCTGTCACCAAGTGTCTCCAGATTCATGTCACTCGCCGGTGGAAATACTTGATTGAGAAACGCATTTTAAATCCCACAAGGTTCACCTGAAATCTGAGAACAGGCCCGTTGACAAAGGGGGACAAAGAGAGCTGGTGCCCCAAGGCCTGGTGATTCAAAAGGGTCTGGGACTCCCATGTCTATTACTGCAGCAGCAGCCACCACTGGAACCCCTGGCCCTTTAAATAACCGCTGAAGTGCCATGTGGCCGCTCCAGGGGGCACTGAAGTGCAGGTGGGAAAGGCTAGTTCCCAGCTCCACCCCTTCTACCCAAAGCCCCACCCCTTCCAGGAGTGCAGAGCTGCCCTCCCACACACCTTGCCCAGGGGCCCAGCAATGTGGTTGGCCCCCCTGTCTAAGATTATCTAATTCCCTCACCATCCCACCTAGGTAACCTAACACTTGGCCCGTCAGGTGAAAAGCTACCAGGAAAGTGTGTGATTAGCAGTTGAGATGTAATGCCCTCCGTTTCTAGTTGTGGCCCTGGCTAGTACTAAGGCCAGGTCTACACTATGCAAGAAACTCAACTTAAGATACACAACGCCAACTACATGACTAGTGTAGCTGGAGTCAACCTACTTTAAGTCAAATTTCTACAATGTCCCCACTGTGGAAGATCGACAGGAAAAACTTTCCTATCAGCTTCCCTTACTCCTCACAACCCCATGGAGTACTGAGGTCAATTTAGTGGGTCTTTAATAGACCCGCTAAATTGAACCCCAGAAAATCGATCTCTGGAGCGTCGATCTCCAGGTAAAGTGGAAATCTGGCCTAAGAGACCCAGAAGTCCCTTCCCCTCTCTGGTGTTAGATAATGGCTTGTCTTAAAGAGCACCCAAGTGCCAAGCTGAGTTGATATTCAGACTCTTCCACTCCATGGCAGCCCCTGGATCATGTTCATTGCATACACACACCTTCCACTGAAACCAAGTTTGGAAACTCTCTGAAGAGTCACTTCCTAACAACATATGGCAGCCTAGGGGAAGAACATCGGTGGCACATGTATGTATTGAGGATGAAATCTGTGACCATGCTCTGATACAATGTGGTAGACATGGCACTGAGCCTATGGTTACAGCAAAGCCCCAGCAGTCTGGATATCTGGGATTTATGGACATAAACTCACTGCATGAAATTTAACTTCCACATTTTATTGGATCCAAGTGTGATGATAATTAATAAGACTTGCCCACTTTAGAATGGGAGCTGATCAGCAAATGTGTCTTCCTGTCAATCCGCGGAACCTAGCCTACAGCAGGTGCCACCAAAACATGGACAGAATAAGAAAATAATAAGCTTCCTATATTATCCCTGGCAAAACTGTTTTGGGGTCCTTGGATGAACAAGGCAGATGCTTGTGGGAGTGGGGACGTTGCCTGTTAAATTGCAAGGGATTTGAATATTTTAATGTGTGCTAAGCAGATGGAACTGCCAAGAGCAAACAGTTACATGGCCATCGCTTGCCAGCAGAGGGCACTGTTGCATTTTTAATCTATGTAATAAATCCTCTTGATGAAAAGGAGAATAGTATTCCATTAAACCAAAGGTGTATTTTTTTCCACAGTGGAGTATAAAACTATGCTATGTGCAGAGACTGTAAGGGCCGTGAGTGAATGATACCAGTCTTGAGAGTTCACATAGGGTCCATCTACACAGCAGTGTTATTTCGGAATAACTGATGTTCCGAAATAACGTAGTGCGTGTCTACACTACAAGCCTTTATTTCGAAATAATGTCGAGCTCGAGGGCTTTTTACTCTGACTCCTGGTAGCCCTCATTTTACAAGGAGTAAGGGAAGTCAAAGGAAGAGTGCTCTTCCTTCGACTTACCACTGCATTGACAGAGCCAAAAGCCGAATTAAGCTACAGCTTCTCCCCAACTTACGAACCAGTTATGGACCAAGCAATTGGTCGTAACTCGGTTTCTTCGTAAGTCGGACCCCATAGAGTTACATGTGACCTCGCTGTTTGTAAGCATGGATCGCGTTCGTAACTCGGGGTCCACCATTTACGACAGCTTCGGTCGTAAATGCGAACGATCATAAGTCGACAGTTCACAACTCAGGGACTGGCTGTACTTCAACTTCAGTTACGCAATTGATGTAGCTGAAGTTGCGTAGCTTAATTTGACTGTAGCCCTGCTGTGTCGGCATACCCATATAGTCCTGGGACAGTCTGACTTTAACAAGCTTTTTAATGTTCTTGCCATTTGGAATCACATTTTTTTTCTTTCAGATATGCATAAAAACTATGATTGAAAATCCACTGCTTTACTCTTTGGCCAGGACAAGTTACCGAAAGGGGCATATTCCATGATAGAATCATACTTGAACACTTGTGGAAGTTAGTCTTTCCTTTCAAATTTTCCAAATGCTGCAAGCGTTGATAGCCATCAAGAATGCTCAGAACAAGTTGATGACAAGGATCTGAAAGACAGCGGTAGATTTCCCATACTTTCCGTGCTCTTCCTTCGACTTACCACTGCATTGGTTCAACTTCAGTTACGCAATTGATGTAGCTGAAGTTGCGTAGTGCGTCCAGACTCAAGCCGCGTTCTTTCGAAATTATTTCGAAAGAACGCGGCTTTTCTTTCGATGGCGGTAAACCTCATTTCACGAGGAAGAACGCCTTCTTTCGAAAGTTCCTCTTTTGAAAGAAGGCGTTCTTCAATGTAAAGAGGCCGTCTTCGAAAGAGAGCATCTAGACTCGCTGGGTGCTCTCTTTCGAAAAAGCGGATTTCTCTTTCGAAAGATCCGCCTGCAGTCTAGACGCGATCTTTTGAAAGAGGCTCTTTCGAAAGATGCTTTCGAAAGAGCCTCTTTCGAAAGAAGCCTGCAGTCTAGACATAGCCCTAATGACACAGCTCACATGTCTATGCTGCTCCATCTGCATTTGTTTTGTACCAATCACTGCAGAAATGTAGTGCTGTTGCAATCCTTGAGTGGTGAGATTTTAAGTCTTCTTCACACATGCACGGCTGTGCACAACTGGCCATGAAAAGCTGAGCCTAATGTCAACATTTTCTTATCAGAACAGGAAGGAGGGAGGAGAGAACATCTGAAATCACTGCATTCATTTAGGCTTTAATGCTTCTTTATTCTATTTATACCATGTTTTATATGAAAAAAAGTTCCTATCCAAGTTGGGGACTTGCCTTTCCGGTGCAACAGACAGCACGCTTTCTAAAAGGAGGTAATAAAGAGAACCCAACATTTACCCAGCAACCATCCCAAAGCCCTTTGCAAATGAAATGAAGTCCTTGTCGCCCACCACACACATGTATTCACCTCTGGTGAAGTGTGGCAGCTGTGTAACAGAACATGAGCATTTTTTGGACACTCAATACACTTCCTGATGGAAAGTTCACAGAGGACTTCCTATAGCAGGATGTGACTTTTCTGAGTTGGAATTTCACCATGATGTTGCTTTTCTTGTGCACACTGTAAATGAGATCTTTAATGACTGGTTTATTTATCGCCATCCAAAAGATAGCAGCACAGACGCCTTCAGCACGGTAGGGGACATTAGAGGGACGTGTCTCTCTGTTTGTGATAATTGGACCTACACATTTACCATATTTGTCAGTTCAACTGTAAAAATGGAAGCTGTTCTTTGATGTCTTTTCATAGATTTTTGCTTTTATGGCCCAGCAGAGGCCATGTCTGTACTAGGAAATTGTTTCAAAATAACTAAATTTGAAATAAGAACTCCTGAAATAACAAAATCAAAATAGCGTGTCCACACTATGAGGAACCCTCAAAAATAGTCCAAGGCAGGCTTTGTTATTGTGAATATGCTACCTTGTCTTAGAACCCCAGGAAACACTGGGGAGTAATTAGTTTGAAATACTCTGGGGAGTCATTATTTCAAAATAGCAGCAGCAGAGCGTCCACACTGCCGGTCTTTCGAAATAACTATTTTAAAATAAGTGCTATTCCCCTAGAGGCATGTCTACACTAGAAAATTATTTTGAAATAACTAAATTTGAAATAACTCCTGAAATAACAAAATCGAAATAGCGTCAATCCCCTAGGAAAGCAGAAGTACAAATTTCAAAACAACCAGCCCATTGTTTCGAAATAACGGGCGTGGGCATGTGGATGCTCCACAGATTATTTCAAAATAAGGGGGGTTGTTTCGAAATAACTCACTAGTGCAGACCAGGGCTGAGATTCTGCCTCCAGTCTCTCCACCAGAGCAACTCTCGTTTGGGGCCATTATGGGACAGTTCCGCTCTCCTTGAATGTTATAACATTTTTCATAATTCTTTGCCCTTTTCTTTACCATCTCTAATAAGAACCAACCTTTCTTCCCAAATCAAAAACAACCCCTACTCCAAAATGTGGAATGTTGGATAGCATTTTTCCTGTCTTTCTTTCAGAATGTATGCTATTTCTGTGTTTCACGGCCCTGTCCAGAGCAAAAGAGAGTAGCACCAATTTGCTTTTGCATTTCAACACCCAACTATTGCATTGCCAAACTGGCTATTTCCTTTTCACATGGAAGTTACATTGAGATTGGCTGTCCTTTTACATTCTAGGTTCTCGTTCCATGTTTGCCAAACTTTTCAGGTTGACAGTCTCTTATTGAAAGTTGAAAATGTTCCTAACTCTCCCCCTTACATTTATTATAGAATAGAAAGTAAGAAATGCATTAACAATAGCAATACAATGCCTATAGAATTTATTTTGTGTGTATTTCAAGAGATTGACAGAGAATACGTGGCCGTGTGGGTAGGAGAGGAGGGGAGAAGGTCCCTGTGTGGATGTAAAAGGGGCAATATGACTAGCACAACTCTTCTATTTGATCTCACATCCTTTGAAGCTTTGGGCTGCATTGAAGTTATTTGGAAAATTTTATTTTCCTGGCTTTGGCATTGAAATAAAATCTTCAACGCTTTGTGACCCCTCCCTATCCCTCACTGCTTTTCATCACCCTCCCCAGGGATCATGAGCCCTGGCTGAGGAATACTATTCTAGTTCAAACCCAAACTGTTAGACTTAATCTGCTAGACTTAATCTGGTTCTCCTATGTCTATGCCTTGGATCCTGTCTGATTTCCAGTAATGTCAATTTCACCGTCCTCCCGTTTTGTTTTTTTCTCTCTCTCTCTCGCTATTCTTGTTAAGTTGCTAAAGAAAGTGATCCAGATCGGAGACACTTCCTGCCTCCAGCCGATCATGGATATTTTCAAAGATGAGGACCGAAGGCTGATGCACACTCACTGCCACTCCAGGGCTATGACCATTCTGAAGAATAAGCAGGGAGATACTTACATCAAAGAAGCCATCGCCTACCTTTCCTTTGCTATCATCGCCTCAGGTAGGCGTGTGAGAGGGCTAGTTCTGGGGGAAGTAGCCTAGAGTGTGGACAGACTCCAAATTGACTATGTATTTGAGAGAGTCTCTGTCTGTCTGCCTGTCTATGAGTTTGCCTGTTCAAGAACGCCTCGTAAATTATAAGAGCAACTATATATTGAGAGAGTTTCTGTGTCTGTCTGTCTGTCTGTCCATCTCTCTGAGTCTGTTTGTTCAAGAACTCCTCTGGACCACCAAATTTGACAGGCAGCTTCTTCTTATCATAACTTAAAGCAAGGTCAGGGTTTGGTTGTGCCAGGACAATGGGATGTGACTGGAATGTCACTGTTTCTCACTTAATGGAAAGGGAGGGCTTTGCTAGCAGGGACAGTTGTACTGTATAACAACCACAGGGGGGCAGCAAGGGGCCAGGGATGGGGACCGGGAGAGCTATAACCCCGTGGGGGCAGCAGGGGACAAGGGTGGAGAAGGGGACAGCGATATACTATATATCTGAGAGTATTTGTTTGTTTGTGTGTCTGTTTGTCTCTGTGGCTGTCTGTCCTCCAGCAAGAGGACATGCACCCCTCCCCTGGCTGAGCCCGCTGCAGCTGCCACAGCCCAGGAGAGGCACTTCTCACCTGGCCCCACGCTGCCATGGTGAGAGAGGGATGGGGTTGTCCCCTCTCACCGGGGCAGCCTGCATCCAGAACCTCTCACCCCAGAGCAATGGTTTCAATGAAGGACCTGAGCAATGCTGGGTAAATCCATGACCAAAGTCCTTCACATCCGACAGCTACTTTTTGGCCTGTGTGAAATGAGTTGGCTGGACTCAGTTGATCCCCAGTGGTTTAGGTTAGGTATCTAAACGTAAGGGCAGTTCAGCTCTGGAAGGGGCTTCCAAAGGAGGTTATGGAAACCCTGATTGGTGGAGGTTTTTAAGAAGAGGCTGAACAAACTCCTGTCAGGGATGGCTGAGGTTCCCCTGGCTCTGCCTCAGCACAGGGGGCTCGAAGTGATGAGCTCTCGAAATGCCCTACATTTCTATGATTGTGGGAAAAGTCATACGGCTCATCTGGAAATTCCCCTGGAGAATCCAGCCCTGGCTAGAATCAGGAAGGCCCCACCCTTTAGTGGGGAGGGCAGCACACTAAGAGTCAGGAGATCTGGTTTCTGTTCTCGTCTCTGCTACTAACTGAGTTGTATGCCCTTGGGTAAGTCACTTCACTTCTCATTCCCCTCCCACTTCTTTGTCTCTTGCTAGCTCTACGGAGCAGGGACTGCCTCTCTGTGTGTGTTTGTGCAGCACCCGGCAGAGTGGGGGCCCCTAGACACTGCTCTCAAATAAACCATGAATCATTCCAGACGAGATCAAAATGGGGGATAGGGCAGAGGTCTCTACAATCGTGACTGGTGTGGAGACCATGACTAAAGGTGTGCTAGTGACCATGCTACATAACTCAGGAACCGGGGTCACCCAATACAATTAACAGGCAGGTGCTGAGCAAACATAAGGCAGCATTTCTTTCGCTAACGCCCAGTCGGCCTGTGGAGCTTGCTCTCAGGGGATGTTGTAAAGGCCAAAAGTGTAACTGGCTTCAAAACAGGAATGTTAAAAATAGTTGACTACGGTAACCATGTAACCGCTAACATCCTTAGCAGCTGTACGGTTATATAGCTCTCTGCCGTAGAAAAGGGAGGAGACCCCTTGCCTACCAGGTTCCCGGGGAAGAGGCTTCACTGCCCTGGGAGCCGGCTGACTTTAACCGATACCATTAACCGATAAGCACCAGCTTATTGTGTAAACAGTTAATCGGTTAAACTCCGACTCAAACAAGAATGAGTTATGTCCATGGAGGGTAAGGCCTACCAGAGACACAACCCCATGCTTAGTGTGTCTGGCTGCCAGAAGCTGGGACCGGCCGGCAGGGGATGGATCGCTTGTGCATTCCCTCTGATGCATCTGCTCTCACAAGCCGGGAAAGTGGGCTAGACCAGTGTTTCTCAAAGTTTTTTTTATAAAGTACCCCTTTTTCAAAAAAAAAAAAAAAAAAAAAGGAACCTCAGTACCTACAGTTTTCAGACCCACAAAACTTTTTTTCTGCCACTACAACACATTTGTTTAAACAATCGTAGCCAGGCGGGCAATTAAATTTGTGGATGTAAAAAGTAAAAAATAATAAAGCACTGTAAAACTGAAAACAAAAATTCAGTTTCCTCCAAATTCCGAGTTGTGCTGATGTACCTCCTAGACTTCTCTCAAGTTCCCCTAACGGTACTCGTACCACTGGTTGAGAAACAGTGGGCTAGACCGACCATTGCTCGGACTCAGGCTTGGTGTTCTCATAAACGACTGTACGGGTGCTTTGGGGCTGTGGGCATCTGTTCGCTTCAGCTCCTGTGGTAACATTTTCAAAACCATGTCGCTTATTGAGGAGCCAAGGCTGCAGATGCTGCTTCACCAGCGGCACTTAGGGGCCTATGTTACGGAAGCCCATTTGAAAATGTTACCATGCCCTTCCTGTCTGAATCGCTCTGGAAACCTTTCCCCGCGATCGCTGCCTTGTTTCATGCAGACAGCAAGTGGCAGGGAAGGGCTGCTGGAACTACCTCACTGGAGAAGGCTTCGCCACTCAGAAAGCCTCGGTGGAAGTAGGGCGTCTGGTCCTGGGCACCACATTTCAAGAAAGATGTGGGGGATTTAGAAAAGGTCCAGAGAAGAGCAACACGAATGATTAAAGGCCAAGAAAACATGAGCTCTGAGGGAAAATGAAAGAATTTTGTTTTGTTTTGTTTTGGAAAACAGAAGACTGAGAGGGGACATGATAGTGGTTTTCAAGTATCTAAAAGGCTGTCAGAAGGAGGAGGGAGAAAATTGTTCTCCTTGGCCTCTGAGGACAGGACAAGAAGCAACGGGCTTAAACTGCAGCAAGAGAGGTTTAGGTTGGACATTAGGAAAAACTTCCTGCCTGACAGGTTGGTGAAACACTGGAATAAGTTGCCTAGGGAAGTTGTGGAATCTCCATGTCTGGAGACATTTAAGAACAGGTTAGACAGACACCTGTCAGGGATGGTCTAGACAGTGCTTGGTCCTGCCGTGAGGGCAGGGGACTGGACTCGATCACCTCTCAAGTTCCTTCCAGTTCTAGTGTTCTATGATTCTGTGAACTCATTCTCAGTCTGCTACCCCGTGCAGTGTTCTGCAACCTCCCGCGTTAGTCATGCTGGTGGGATACATTCTGTTTCTTCTGTGTGAAGCTCTGTTTGGTATCATAAATGCCACCCAGGCTCTACTTGTCCTCTGCAGGTGTGTCAGACAGATTTCCTGCTAAAAAGTTACCCCAGGCTCTGCACATTACCTCAGCTTGCCCCGAAGAGAGAGCTGCTTGGGAAATATCTCTGGCATGTTCTGAGCACCTCTCTATTCTCCAGGCAATCTGGCCTGCATGCAGCGCAAATGTGATGACAGTCGCCTCTAGGAGAAGCGAGCGTGTAAAAAGGGAAACTGCTAATTGCCGTGAGATGGCCCCATTTCACAGCTCAGGCATTCAGGCTTATCTGCGTCCCACCTGCTGGAGCAGCTGCTTGTTAAGAAACGGACCTGGTCTTTTCCTGGCACTGATCGTTACAGCCCCACAAATGTTCACAACATTTGGTGTTGGAGCTTCGCTTGGAGGGGAGAAGCCTTGCTCCTGAGAAGGAAATGGGGAAAGGCACATCCTCTGGCACAGCCCTCTGGGCAGCTGTGTGACAGGCTGCACTCCCAGGAAAAGAATATTGATAATGGATCCAATATGGGGCCGCCGCTGTGACTGATCCCAACCCTGGGCACATGAAGACACTTGCAGGAAAGGCTGTGAACGCCAGGAGCTGGGTGAGCAAAGGAGAGACTCGTTCTCGGCAGCCTCCGGGTAAATATCTTGTACATTTCATATCCAAATGATGGATTTAATTGGGATCAGAGATAAGAGAACCTGAGTCTCACACACTGCCATGTCCTGAGCATCCTTGAGCAATAAGTGAGACAGAGCCATCGGGGTTATTATCCAAGCCGGAGCAGTGGACATTGTCTGATTCCATAACCTCTGATCCTACCAAGTCCTCTCGCTGCTAAACGGCTCCGCTTCTGCCTCCCAGCATCACCTCCCATCCAGGGTACTTTCTCTCCCATTGTGCTGCCACTCATGGGTTATAGCTACATCCAAATCAATCAGAGGTGTCCTCCTAACTAGCATGGGCCTGCCCATAGTGATTGTCTCCTCAGCATGTCCCTTGGAGCTACAATAGGTGGAGGACCTCCTTTGGCACTGCTCTTGGCTAGGGTAAAATGGAGAGGTGCTTTCACGCCATCCCCTCTTGGTTTGCTTCCAAACACCAAAAACACTTCTGATTTCTTTAACCGCAGCCACACACTGCTCCCTCTGAGAGGGCTAGGCCCAGTCCCCACTGCTGAGTGAAGGAGCATGGGAGTAGGGTTGCCAGGTGTCCGGTATTGACCCGGTTAGTCCAGTATATTCTCCCCCCTTGTCCGGGAAAAAAATTCAGAAAATACCGGACACCTAAAATGTCTGGTATTTTCTGATTTTTTCCAGACCAGCAGGTGAAAATCCTGGGGGCTTATCTGGTTCTGCAGGGGAGCTCTGATGGAAGGCAGCCGCCAGCAACTTGGTAGGGGCCAAAAAGCCTCAAAAGCATTTCTTAAAGGGGCCATGCTGGGTTTGTTTGTTTGTTAATTTTTTTTTATTTTTTTTTTGCTCAACAGCTTTGGTCTCCCTCTTTTTTTTCTCAACAGAACTTTTTCCCCCGTGGGTTTTTTTTTTTTTTGTGGGGGGAGTGCGGTATTTTTGGTTAAACCATCTGGCAACCCTACATAGGAGACCCCTGTAACTTCCTAGAGAGACGCTTTCTAGGTTTCCTAGGCAACTCAACCCGAAAGGCCTGATCAAAGCAATTTCGTGACCCACAGCAGACCCCAAACAAACAGCAGTTGTGAAATTTCTCTTCCCTGCTTGCAATCGTGGTCCA